TGAATTTTTGTTACTCCTACTGGTTTTAGAATTTTCATGTAAGCTCAATAATTATAGGTGTCAAGTTCTCATGGTCCAGGTTTCTGATCTATGTATTGATGCTGGTCTTTGCTACTAATGTGTATTCTTTGACAAGTAGAAACACATAAACAACCCAAAGTATTTTTTTAGTGTCCCATTTGAGTTTGGTTTTCAAAGTACTTTTGTTTTTTGCCAATTACTCTTCCCAGGTAATTACATTTCTTTACTTCAATTATATTCCTATATTTGCACTTTTTAATTCTTTGCTCTAAAAGGCTGTACTTTGGAGTTCTTGCATGATGTTTTCATTCCCTATTTTTTGGATGTTTTATTCAATTTATGTGTTGCTTTCTCATCTGCGTAAAATATTGTTTTGGTTTGACGTTTTCTGTACAGTTGTATTCTTTGATAGTTTTGCTCTCCATTTCCTGATCATTTTTTTTTTATTAGTGTGAAGTGGAAAAAGAGTGGTGAAAGTACACATCCTTACCCGAATTGTTTGTAGAGTCCATTGCATGGATAGTGTAATAAAATTCTGAACATTATGAAAATGCAGGATTTAACATATTAGAAGTTTCCATTTGTGATGGACAGGATCCTCATTGCTGCTCATTACAAAACCTCTCCAATAAACCACAAGCAATGCTTCTCCTTTAATGTGAAGATAAGAGTTCTAAATTATATTTTTAAAGAGAATCTCCCCAAATCCCCACTTGTTAAGTATCAGGAGATGGAGCAAAGAATGACTCAGGAGAACAATTTTTGATTCTTAATTTGTTTCTGAAATCTTCAGGGAGATCATAAAATATTTGAATATAGAGACAAGGTTCTCTAAAGAACTAAGGCGGTACCACTTTTGAATGAAATTCATAATATTGTAGTGTCTGTTAGTTTGAAGTAACTCTTTTTTTTATTTTATCATTGTTTACATTACATAAAAACCCATTTAGTTGTTTTCACAATTTTTGTGTATCTGTTCAGGTCTATCTCTGAAGCGGATGAACTGATTTTGATGGGAATGCTCTTGGCACAGTGACATTGTGGCAAAGGGTGTGATGCCAACATTTCGTCAATCTTGTTATGGTCTCGCAGATCAGTCATGAGGAAGACCATGATAAAATGATTGAAAAGTCTGCATTACAGCCTTTGACTTGGCATCACCCAACAGCCAAGATCACCTGAGAGACTAGTTGCAGAAGCCTAAGAGTTCACCGATTTTGATCTGATTTTTTGAGTGTGTGCTCTTCTCTCTCTCTCGCTCGCTCACTCTCTCTGCTCTCTCTCGCTCTCTGCTCTCGCTCGCTCTCTCTCCGCTCTCGCTCGCTCTCTCTCCGCTCTCGCTCTTCTCTCCTCTCCGCTCTCGCTCTTCTCTCCTCTCCGCTCTCGCTCTTCTCTCCTCTCCGCTCTCGCTCTCTCTTCTCTCCTCTCCGCTCTCGCTCGCTCTTCTCTCCTCTCCGCTCTCGCTCGCTCTTCTCTCCTCTCTCTCTCCCAGTTATTTGTCTTTTATATGAATGTGCTTTTGTCTTTGGGATTGGTTTTTCTTAAAGACGATGATTTATTTATTACTTTCAACGGTTATGACATTTACAATCAGATACCAAAATGATATAGCTTGTGTGCGTAAAAGTAATACTATAAGATAAAAGGAATTAATAATAAATATGAATATAAAATAAATAATATAAATAATAATAATTTTGATGACTTAAGGTACCAAAAACTACTACTCTCATTGATGTTGCAGTTCTATGAAAACATGCAAAATAAAAGAAAAAAGTCTTCAGGAAAAGTAAGGAAGTACAGCGATCTGGCTTATCAAATCAAAGATCATGGAAACAGGACAAAGTATTTATTCTCCTAATAATTATCTCCAGTACTGCCCTTGCCTGTCAGTACACATTTAAGATGCTCATCTAAGAAAACCTTCAAAAACTCTTGCGCCCCCCCCCAGGCTTTTAAAAGAAGGCAAAAGTCTTAAATACTTGCTGCATTGTTCGGAACTTTCTTGGTTCAGATTCTTAAATAAATAGCAAATAAAACATTTGGTGAAGACCCTATTCTTATTCGTGAACCAGGTCTTCCTGTGAACCAGCAGTGTGTAAACGTAAAATTATATTATTATTATTATTATTATTATTATTATTGTTATTGTTATTATTAGTGAGGCGAAGTGGCTCAGGACGTACCATGCCGACTTGACAGTTAGGAGGGCTAGGTTCGATCCCCAGGCTGGCCATCCGGACCGGAGTTATTGCAATTTCCTTCAGTCGTATACGTATATGCTAGGATTGTTCAAAAAAGCCAAGATAACATCGCATTATCCTATCACCTCCATAATTCAAGGCTAACAACTTTCTTACCAAGGGATACAGCCTATGTAAAGTTGATCCCCATAATGGCACACGTTAATCTCTCCGGAATAGAATATGACTGGGTCTCGGAAGAGAACGTGTAGCGTGGTTAGAAATGGCCGATACCCCAATAATAAACAAAACAGTCGACTGTATTGGAAAATATTAGATTCAAAAAGTTGGAGAATTCAGTTAAATTGAGATCCATAATTTCAACTTTGTAATTATTTACAAAACCACTGGTTCTGGAAAGTTTTTTTCAATGTTAATGAAATTTTGTACACGTCACCTTCAGTATAAGAGAAGTGGGATTGCATAAAAATTACTCTTAATCCACTTTCTTGCCCATTACAGCAAAACTTGTGTGTGCGCTCTTCCTGTTTTCACGGATATCTAGAAATTAACGAGCAAATTCACTCATGATTCATTCTAATAGTGCTATTACATTCAGAGTAATGGAAGGAATTTTTACTGAGCATTTGCTGCGAGAAAGAATTGCTTTCAGTTTGCCCATAATGCAGATGGTGCAAGTACCATTAAAACTAATTGAAATGTGCAAAATATGCTTAGAAATGATGGGAAAAGTTGAAAAATTACTTAGTTGAATTCAACCAAGAATGCAAAACGTGTCATGGAAAAATGAGTCATTTCCTTTTGTCATATCGTGAAATTAATGTCTATACAAAGAGGCATAGTTCTAAAGTGAATAGAAAAAATATTTCATTGAAATCTGCCCCCTAATTATATCATAAATAGTGGGTATAGTCCAAATGTTAATAATAGGCCAAGTAATTTGAGAGTTCCTGACAGGATTTATAAAAAGAATTCTGTTATCAAGATGAAAGGAAATGGTCAATGTTACTTGTCAGCTTTGTTAAGAATTTTACAAAGCAAACGGTATTTAAAATTATATCTTTGAATGTTTGGACAATGTAATATGGTGGAATGTAGGTGGATTGTGTTTTGTGTACAACATTACTTCATTGGAATTTTAGTGATTGGATGGAAAAACAAAATAAATGGAAATAAACAAAAAAGGGGAGGGGGCTGGATCTCACCACAAATAAACATTTAATTATTTTATTCACAAGATTCTACTCACCTCTGAAAAGTTAATATATTGCTACATTACACTCTTCTATGGGTGTTTAAAATAATTAATCTACTCTGCTGGGCGTTCTGGACAAAGGTGCAGAAAACTAATTAACCTCAAAAAAGAAACCTTAACTCAAAAACTGTCATCTGTCTTTAACGTGTTACATAAAGAGGATTTTTTATGACAAGCATGTAATTCCGGTATTGCTTTTTGAAAACAAAATCGCCACCTTGCAAAACTTATAGTGTCCAAGAAATGTCTTAAAAAGTCTGTGTTAATTTTATTCCTTTCAGAAACAATTGTGAGGAATGGCAGTCGTAAGATTTTGTTAATTCCAATACTCCACTCAAGAATTAAAAATGAATGTTCTTAATAGTTAATGACGCTATTAAGAACAAAACTACCAGTTTTTCTAATTTAAGACATGGATGCTTTCAATAGTGACATTGTTTAATAAGTTGCAAGTTAATTTAATTGTGTAATATGTTTAATAATTTCAAAACTTATTTGAAGAGTAAATGTTCAGTTCTCAATGCCGTGGCAGGCTCTTAAAGACAAAAAGGTTAAGGAGGAAGTAATAATATGGATGCACTTTTTCCCTTCTGGTATTAAAATTGTTTCTTTGGCATTTTATGTTGTATATTAGGTTTGTTGGAGTTGGGTTTGGATTTTGGTTATGTAAGTTTTACTAAAAACAAAATTTGTATATTTCAAGATCAAGGGAAGGTGTGCTGTTTAAAAAAACTTTGGTAAATTTCATTAAAGAAATATAGCATTAGTATATCTAAAACTAGTGGTCTATAGTAGCAAAAGTTCCCAACTATTGAGCACCTTTTAAATAATTCTAATAAAACAATTAGATTGTAAAAAATGTAATCTCCTTTTGAATCAATAATATCAATTTTTTTAAACATAGCAATCGGTCAGGTGAATGTTTTGCACATTTGTTGGCAATGTAATTATTGTTGCAATAATTATATAGGATTGATTAATTGTAATCCCTTTACAAAATGATAGTTCATCGACATTCTGTTTGTGAATCAGTGAGAATGGATTTGTGTGTGTGTATATAACGTATTAAATTGGTGTCCATTGATCAAACGTTTCATCTGTTGTTGCAAAGTGAACTTCCAGAATTACATTCTCAAGGTTTTATTTGTGTTTGTTCTTGACGAAGAGCTCAGTCAGCTATTTCACAGTGATGTAGTGCCTGAAAAACTAACATTTGAAGGTTGTTTTTTATCAGCTGTACATTTTCTATTGTATAATACAATCAAATGTCAAAGTGCAGAACAACTGAGAAGGATCCAGAACAGAAGTTCTATTGGGGAATCTAAAAAGGAACCCTTTCATCATACTCTTGATACATCATGTTAGGAATCATTACAAGATAATAGAATAAACACAGTGAATTCAATGCCAATGTTACAACAGAATGCTTTTATACTGTTCTTATAATATGTGAAATCATTCTTTCAAAATTTGTGCAATATTTTGTTTAGCCTTATGTAAAACTGTTGACTTGTTCCTAGGCATCGTCGAAGGAGGAAAGAGGATGAGGTTATTGGGACAGGACGAACAACTGTGATTGGATCTGGGAAACCCTCCTCTAGTGGAAGTCCTCAACCTGCAAGTCGTGAATCAATTGTTCCAAGTTCCAGAGGTGCCCAATTTGATCTTGAAGCAACTGCTTTTCCTCCATTGCCAGGGATGGATAATGGGGTTGGTATTAATACAAAGAGTGCAGTGCCTGTGGAAACAGTTCCAGTGGATACCTCGAGCTCTCACTGGGAAAATAGGTATGAATGCACAGAATTAAGTTAATCAGTTTTGCATCAATTTATTTAGAAATATTTTTCCTTTTAATTTTGATCATGAACATAGCTTTGTTAATGTCTCAATTAAACAATTAAAAAACTTGCTGCGTGATAAATGCTTTTAGGTCAGAATTGGGAAAAATATCATAATTGTGCTGCTTTGGAAATGTGCTTATTTCCTTTTGTAAAGAATATTCTAGGAGAATTTACTGAGGGACACCGTTGTAAATATTCAAAATAGGCAATTGTAATATCCCCTTGTTCATTCATGTGTTTGTGGGAAATTATTAGTTAACAATACATAGGCCAAGACTGTAACATGGAAAGGGAATGTGTAATGCAAGATCATTTAAACAAGAAAAGATAGATCTGTGAGAATAATCCTCATCTCAATCGTGATTTTCTTGTGAATTATTGTCTTACTGTTCATATTAAATTTTTTGGTACTCTGTTTCTGCCACCTTGAAGTTGCTAATATTGGAGTCCTATTTATCTACATTATAACCATTCTCCTACTGCACTCTCCAGGTTTGGCGATTAATTTCCTGTGTGTTTTGATTTTTATTTTACAAGTTTATTTTTGTTATTTAGTAATAGTAATTTCCTGGCTCTTAAAAGGGTATGGATATGTATTTTTAACATGTGGGTATCAACATTATTTACAAACTCCCAACTTAGTGAATCTGAGGACAGCTGTCTGAAGTCCCGAAATTTGGATTTTCCTGTCCCTTGGAGGAATGCCACCTGTACCGAGTGTGCTCCTCATGAGTTTCTCTCTCCCGAGTCTTTTCAGCTCCAAAGTGAAAGATAAACCTGGCCCTCCTATATGCTTGTCCATTCTAGTCAGGACTAGATTATAAAACCATTGCCTCTTGCTTTGTGGGGTCCCAGAGACTCGGCAATTTCTTGAGAGCATGAAGTGGTGTTTGCTTCTTGCGAGTGCAAACTGGTAATTTCCCAACATTGAAATATTTTTTTACATCTTGAGCTCTGTGGTGTTTTGAGAGACAATTTAATATGAGTTGTGAACAAAATCCTCATGGTCTTCAGAGATATTGAAATCTGGGGAGAATGAAGGGAGGGGTCAGGAAATGGGAAAAGTTGGGGAAAGGGGTTGCCTGGAAATGTCTGGGCGACTTTGGGTTCTGTCATGTTTAATTTTCAAACAATTTAACAAAGTAATTCAAAAAGCACTTTAAGGGAGAGGAATTCCCCTTTAGAATTTCATTCTGGTATAATGAAATATTGTTCAGTGTGTTTTACTGATTGTTCATTGAAGTGTATAATACTGGGCTTGATAATTTTTGTAACAGGGAGATGGAGGAGTGGTTTTTGAAATTGAAAAAAGAGGGGTTCTGAGTATTACATATTACAGAGAATAAAAATTTAATTTCTTCATATCTATGAGATTTTTGTCAATTTTTTGTTAACATTTTCTAATTTTTTGATATGTTAATTTGTAACTCACTTTCTTGGGTGCTGTAGATTTTTATGTGTAGTGGGGGTTGTTTTAGGGGAACTCTCAACTCTATTTACATCTCTTTTACATACTTTACATACTTGCTATTTGTTGATCCCTAGTTTTGTTGTCAGATTCATTGTTCTTTTATCCTCTAAATTAAGGAATTTCAGAAAATGCGTTAGAATTATGGTCATGACAGTTACTTTCTGGACTCGGAGAATGATCGGAATTTCATTGTTATAGAAAAGGTGGAAGGGGGGTGTCAGAGAATTTTTTTGAAACATTTTTAGACTGGAATATTTTTTAAATAATTATAAAACCAGATATTATAGCATTAGGGCAATGTCTAGTTTTGCCAATATTTTTATTTGTGGAAAAGATATTTTTGTCTTCTGCAAAATTTCAATGTAACTGTTCACAAATTTGTGAAACTGACAAATATCTGGTAACCATCTTGCTTTTATTTAATGTTCTTTAAATATTGTGAAAAACTCTTAAGAGATTATTAGCAAAAATTAGTGTTCTAGAAAATCAGAAACATCACAGTAATGAAGTCGATGAGGAAATTCCTGTGGACAGTTGAAAAACTCAGGAATTGTGTCAAAAAATTGGCATCATGGGTGTTAGTCTATTCTTTGAGGCATCCTTCTAAGACAAGCCACCCTTATTGTCAATATTTTGTCACAATTCCTGTTGCTTCTACTTTTGATTATAATTTCCTCTTCCCTAGCACTGTTAACTCCAATCTTGATTGTATCAGGCTGACTGGAATAGTAATAAATTGTTGTAAATTGGTTAAATTTTGTGATAACTTTGATTTCCGGAAATTTGCATGTTGAGTTAGTTTTTGGTAGTTTCAATTTAAGGGTGATCATCTTGTTAACCATTAATGAACAAAATGTGTTCTTTTGTTGTTGGTATTGGCTGTGCACTAATTTTTTACCCTTATTTTCCTTTTAACAGATTATCAGATGTTGTTAAAGGCACTGTGAAAGCTAAGTGTCAGAATGCGAGCACAAACACCAAGGAGAAAGATGTGAACAGTGGGATGGGATCTGTATCTCCTCGAGCTACAACTCCCACATCTCCTGTACCCAAGAGTGCTGTGCCTCCAGTTTCAATAGAAAACAAGCAAGCTCAAGTTCAACAAGGATCACAATTACAACAATCCTCAATACCATTACAACAGCAGCAGCAGCAACCACAGCAACAACAGCAACCACAACAACAGCAACCACAACAACAGCAACAGCAGCAACAGCAACAGCAGCAGCAGCAGCAGCAACAACAGTCATCTTCATTGCAGCAGCCAATGCAACACCAACAAAAAGTGCATCAGCTATCGACACAGCAATTTCAACAACAGCAGCAGCAGCAACCGCTGCCACCACCACCCCCACAACAACAGTTGATGCAGCAGACCCCATTACAGATTCCTCCTCAACAACAAATACCAGCTTCTACTGTTGTGCCACAAGCAGTGCCGTCTCACCAACCCCAAACAAGTCAAGTGCCACAGGCAGTGCTGCCTAATACAGTTGCACATCAGCCAGTGCCCTTGCTAACACAACAGCGGCAGACTAGTCATTCAATGTTTCCACTCTCAGTTACTACTACTACTACTACTACTACTGTATTGGTATCTGATAAAGAAACTAAAGAAGTAGGAACGGGCAATGATAATGGTCTTAGCTCCTTTGCCCTAACTCCGCCTCTTTCTCCCGAGAAGTGAGTTTTAATTATTGGAAATATTATGAAAATTACATCTAAAGAATTATATTATAATGTTTCTATTCTGTTATATAGGACAGTTCCTGTTGCCACCAAATTGATGGCTGACAAAGCTACCAAGACTGATGATACACTCCTGACCGGTGACTATATTGGTGGGAGTCAAAGTTTGAGTTCAAAGACTGGAGATGGACATAATGTAAAGCATACACTGCCTGCCCCACCAAATGTGGTGTTTCCTGCTTCTAAGCCTGTTCCTACTACCACCAATGCTGCCACAATGACTAGTGCAGTAGTGGTGTCTGATATAATGACTGCTCCATCCCGCATGACAGCTACAACTGCAATTGCCAGCACAGTAACTACAGCCAGTGTGGTATCACCTGCTACTAGTATTCCTCCTGGAGAGACATCAGTCAATTCATTGACAGTGGCAAGTGCGAGTAATTTGTGTTTGCCTCATTTATCTGTGTTATCTGGAACTACATCCATTTCTACAACTGCTGTGACAACTGTTGCTGTATCTTCCTCTGTGGTATGTTTATTTAATCATTCAGCATTATTGTGTTAAAATACAGATTTTTCTGCTATTGTTTTGATTAAATGTTAATATATTGAAGGTTTTGTAGTCGCTTCACCTCAAAGCTTATTACTTTTATTGTGGAATGTTATGGAGAACTGAATTGTGTTGCTTCAATTTGGTATTTTGTACTATACCAAAGATAAGACTCCTGAAATAACAATCATCTTGTATAACTTGTTAGAATTTTTAGTCAATCTGTAACACTGCATAAAACATGATGCTAGTGGTTCAAATCTATTAGGTATGTGTAATCTATTAGGTACCTACAAATTGTAGGCACATTACACTTTGTCATCTTAATTGTGATGTGGTAGAGTAATTAATACAGACCAAAACTGGAAATTTAAAAAAATTATTTATTTCTTCATGATTTGTTTGTGTTCAAAAAGTTTGGAGGATATATCTGAGTAATAACAAATGTACTTGTGTGGATTTGTTTTCTCTGCACGACCTTTAAATTCTTCAATAATCCATATGTGGAAATGTAGTTGACGTTCAGCATGCCACCTTTGAGTCTGCTTTAATAGAATTATATGTTGTTTCATTTTCAATATTATACTTCTATACAGAAATTAGTGATGGCTAATCTGCTAGTTTTATGAATTAGTGAGCTGTCACTCTCTATTTGGAACTTGAATATCTGAAATACTGGAACATGTTATTGTAATTTCATAACAAATTTGAGCAATTTTTATATATTTTATATAATTTTTCATATTAGCCAACTGCACGGCCCATTAAGGGCAAAGGCCTCCTGCTGGAGTAGAGAATTATTAATACTTATTTAATGAAGTGATATGATGAGGGGTGAAATGACAATACCAAATACATTCATGCCGAGGCTTCATTTGAACCCGCAATCCTTCGATCCGAGGATTGAAACCGCCACAACACTTCTGCCTACAGCTAGTTCTCAATTATAACTTAAATTTGTTTTTGACACAATTATAACATATCTTGCATACATGTCAGAATCAATCATCAACTACCTCTCTTACATCTATTAGCAATTGACAATATTCCTGTTAATGTAAATATGTCCTATAAAATAATCCATTAATTAAATATTTGATATAAATGACACAAATGCTCTAAATATATTTTATTAGATTATATCAATTTTAATTATTTTGCTATTCTTTTATGATAGTGACATGTGCTCTAAATACAGGTAGGAACTGACAATATTTTTCTTGACCCCTTTGATTTTGTTTAACTAAGAATGTACATTAGATGACAAGTAAAGTGGACTAACAAAACCATTTTAATTAAATTTTATTTATAAGTTAAAAATTAATAATATCAATATGTACCATTTTCAAGAATAGAAATTCACCCTCATTACTTGATTCCCACATATTTCATATATTTAGGCCAGATGTTTGATGTGCAGTGTTCGCAAACATTTCGTAAAGCTGCAGTGGCAAAACATTAATATTTTGCAGAGCCCTACCGACCAACAAGTGAACATTTTGCAAAATCATACACACTGGTGAGCACTAGCGTCATTATCCTTGCACCCTGTAGTTTTGTTCTGTCTCCCGGTTGCTGTCATGGCTTGGATGCTTGACAGACCTTTGCCTAACAAAACAAACTGAACCTAAACACTAAACCACACAAATTCATTGGGTTCCTAGGATGGCATAATCATAAAACACATATCTGAAATAATTTAAGATAGGAAATAAAGGAAATTAGTTGGGACTTATAAACAACACACAAACATGAAAAAAAAAACATGCAAGTGCAAAACTTAAATGGAGTTTCTCTGTTTAACATTTCAGTACTTGCGTAACTAGGGATGAGGAAATCGTGCTAGGTAGTTTTATACTTCAGTTTAAGATAACTAAATGTGACGGAAACATGTTTCAAAGAAATGACCCATTCTGTTAAATATATTAAACCTGTCTATGGAATCATATGGGTACAACATTTTCTTCTGTCTTGTAAAGGTTTCCGGCTTATTCAGGTTCGCAATAAAAACTGTTGAGTCAGAAAATGCAATCATTCGAAGATGGAATACGTTGAATGAGTAGTTTATCTCACCTACAACTACACTTCAGAGAAATAAAAACATCCCGGGAGAAACAAATAAAACAAAGAAAATGACATACAGAACACAACACAACACAGTCCAATGAAACAAAGAACTCCATAAAAAGTAAAGGAAATCTGATTTTCTCAAATATTTATTGGATCAGCTGAATTCATCTGATGATTTAGACTTTGGCTCTTTATCTAGGTCCTCATGAAATTATGCTGCATGTATAAAAAATTCCTTTTGACCAATCTTCATTTTGTCTTTGTAAGGTGTTGTATACTTAAGTTTTCCCAATTTTAAATGTCTTTAAACAATACTTTACAGAAGTATTGCTTTCTTTGTGTTAAATTAGGCTAATTTTCTCCCAGAGTTAATATTCTCAATTTGCCTCGTAACATAAAATCTGGATCAACCCATGCAACTTTTCAAACTGAACAAGAGCAGAACTACTAAACCCAAAGCACAAATTCAAAGAACTGTGGAAGGATCTTCACGTCTGTCTTTTCTTCACACAGGCTAGTGAAGGTCAGTGTTAATAAAAAATCGGTGGCTTTCGCACAAGTAGCATGGGAAATATTATGTTGGGACAAAGGTAGCTGAGAAAACTAATGGAGGAGTACAGTTCAGTGTGTCTCATGGTATAATGTTGCCACACTTTGCAAGTCAATTTTTTTTATTTTAAAACCATATTTGTGTTGTCTTATCCAGAATTTTTAATACCATTGTCCTAAAAAATACTTTCCGTTTCAGTGTTAGGCAGGTTTCTGGCTTATCCAGTGAACTTTGGATTAGAAAATAATCCATTCCGAGATATTTTCTGGCAAAGACACGTTTCAGTGTTATCCAGGTTCTGCCTTGGACAGGTTTTACTCTGCTACATTTTCATGTAATGTTTCTTCTAAGGATACGTTATGTCAGAATTTGCCAAAATTTCACGTGAAAGAAACAAAACCATAGAGGCAATTTGAGAAACAAGATATACAGAAGTGTAAGTTGATATCTTTTTATAGTTACTATTTAGTTTTTAAACAAACATTAATACAATAACATGGGGCTAAGGATTTACCAGACATTGCCAGTAATCATTGGAGTAGTATGTAAATTTAAAACTTGTTCAGATGTCTGGTCTGCTAGCAGGTGTAATCAGGAGAGGTTTTAGGATTTGTGCACAAGAATGACCTTTACAGAGTGATGTCAAAAAATAAAATGTGAATAATTTAGGGCCGGTTTCACCAAACAGAGAGTAAGAGTTTACTCTGGAGTAAATCATGTTTACTCGATAGTAACTTCTTGGAGCGTTTCACCAACACTTTCCTCCGGTGTAAATCGCTTACACGAGAGTGAATTCGAGAGTAACTTTACACCGCGAAAATCCGTCGGGTAAAGTACGGAGTAAATTCAGTTTTCAACGTGCATGTATCTCCGAAGTGTTGTTATGGTTCGACGATTACGAATGATAGTATTTGAAGACGATTCCAGCAATGATTCGGAATATTATCCACTAGTGCGAAGACAAAGGGTGCGAGAGAGAATGGGTTGGTTTTAATTATGACGATAGAGATTTTGTCATGAGGTTATGTTTGACCAAATCAGCTGTTTAAGTTCATTTGATACATTGTAAACTGTAGAGAACTTCTAAAGTTCTTTTTGTCCCGTGTGGATACGAAATAAAGGTAGTACGTACCGAATACGACAATAAAAGGAAAAATAATAACTACAGGAACTACAAGTACTAAGAAATATTCATTTATTTATTCAGTAAAAACTAGGTGACGTATGGGGAGATCATTTGCGCTAGTTTTCTTGAGTTCCAGAATCCCTTTCCAACATTTTAACTACAAATAGTTGAAAGATGAATAAAAGTTTAAAAAATAAAACAACATATAATAATAAAATTTAGAAAAACACGAGATCAGCAACATTTAAAAAACTAAACATTTTCATTCCCTAGTTATAGAAAATTCATTTGCACCGCCATTGGTAAATGAACTGCAAATTAATTTTTCTGCATTGCTAACAAAATAGTAACTCGTCTCTAGATAAGAAGAATGAATATTTATTAAGAAATAAAGATACAGAAACTAGGAAATAAACTATGCTAACTCAAACCACCATAACACCATACCAGATTATAACGCCAAGAACTCCGAAACTGAAATGAAATATACAATATAAGGAATTAATCAAAGGTTCGCGTTGGTCCGCATTGGTTCCCAGCGTCATTCTCGCTCACAGCCTCTTGAATCACTCTCAAATATTGTTTGTTCAGCTGATTTGCAGAGTAAATAGGAGAGTATGTACTCTAGAGTAAAATAACCCTCTAGAAGCATGGTGAAACGCTCATATTCTACTCGAGAGTCACTATCTTGAAGTAAATGGTTACTCTCGGGTAACTACTCTCAACTTTACTCGGCTGTTGGTGAAACCGGCCCTTAGAATGCTTATACTAGAAACTTAAGAAGTAAATTCTTAGTATCTGAATAACTTAGTGGTGGATTTTATTTGTAAATAATACTTACTTGTAACTACTAGGTTTTCCAATATTTACTTAAAATTGTTTTAATAGAAATAAACTTCATTTCATCTGTAAATAGTGCCAAATTTCCTAGCACTGTGGATTTTTCCCCATACAATTTCTGTTATTCTGAATTCACAGACAGATCTTTGTTCATGGGTATGTGTGCATGTAGGAAAATGACCTTGTAATAATATTATTTATGGCTGTATTCAATTCATGGGCACCAAAAAAACTGCACACCGCGTTATTCACCTCTTACAGCAGAGGCACACCGATGATAATTTCAATTTTTATTAGGAAGCTGAAAATCATTGATATTGTTTGCGAAGTCTTTTTGGTCAAAACGTGGAACAATTTGTGCTAAGTGTTGTTGTAATTTGAGTTATTACTGAAACCTTGGTTATGAAACAATTCGACACGTTTCAGACTGAATATTCAGAAAACGTTTAGGAAATATTTATAGCATTTTATATTTTTGTATAATATTTTTTAACATGGGACCATGTTATGAAGATAAATTGGCCTATATTTGGAATAAAAATGTATAGGTTTTGTCATTAAATACAATTCTTAATTTTCACATTTTCCGAATTTTCGTTGTTTTTTTTGTTTTTTAAATTACTGTATATCATTGCATCAGTTATCTTAATTTATCCAGCAGCGTCACCCCCTCCATATAGCATGGAACCATTTACGCTTTGGTTAAAGAATGCAGGAGTCCGCCTTGAAAGCAGAAGTTGCTAAGACTGAAAGGCCGTAGCTGTTTCTGCTCGAAGGGTCCCGGGTCGAATCCCGCCTCCGGCGTGCGTGCGTGTTTACCCCAAATGTCAAAAAGCACAGTGGTCTCTATATGACCGAGTATTTAAAAAGCGTTCTTAAAAATAAAAATAATTGCATAAATTGATTAATGTGAGCACCGTCGCCAGAAAGTATAAACACAAAAAAGTCTGGGGGTATTCAAATAACCTGCCTGAGTACTGGAATGTTAAATTCATACAAATACCTTCTCTAAATGTCAAAAAATCCAATTCATTACTTGTTGGCCAGATAAGCTGTCCAGAGATAATGAAGTAGATGTAAAAAGTTCTGATTGTATTCTTAAAACGCGTGAATGGCGCCGTAAGTTGTCACCGCTGGCTGTTGGCGATCTCATCTGTTAATTGTCCAACAAGAGAATGAAGTATATGTAAACAAACCGGAATATACGTATAATTCTTTGTCGAAGCGCTTGGTCTGTGGCCTATGATGTCATCCAACAGTTGTCAACGCTCCACTACAGTGTTGTCAGAGGCACCGCTTTCTCAACGTTCAATTCACAAGCCACGGAGATGACTTAAAACATACGCATTTCTACAATTTATTAAAATTAGAATTTTTATTATAGTGGACAAGTTGATGCACTTGCATGCCATCAACACGGTCTAGACAGTTATGACACTCGGCTCTCAAGATACACATATGCAGAACCGCCAGTTGTCGCTTGTAAGACAAAGCGACACACTCAGTAATTGTAGTTTATTCAGGAAGACACAGTGTCACGTATGCGGTGATGCATACTCTCACAGTTAGGCCGGGGTTCTCTCTCTTAAGCAGGTGGTCTATTTCAGCCGATACGGATTACTTTTCTATCTCATTATGAACATTTGTCAATTTCTCGCTGCCAACTTAATTTATAATTATAAAATAATAGTGTGTGTGCGTGCGTGGGTAATTAAATGGGACCCAGTATTAA